CCGCTATCTCTGGTGAATCCTCTCACCCTCCCGTGCATCTGGCCTATACCCCAGTTCTTGTATAAATAAATAAATCTTTATAAAAAAATAGAACAAATATTGATGAAATTCATATGGAGCCACCAAAAACACTGAATAGCCAAAGCTCTCCTGAAAAAAAAAAAGAAGGGAATGGAGGCACCACACTCCCAGACTTCAAACTATACTGCAAAGCCATAATAATCAAAACTGCATGGTACTGGAACAAGAACAGACGCACGGATCAATGGAACTGAATAGAAAACCCAGAAATAAACCCACAGATTTACAGTCAACTAATATTTGACAAAGGAGCAAAGAAAATGCAATGGACTAAAGAAAGATTGTTCAATAAATGGTGCTGGGAAAACTGGGCCGCTACATACAAAAGAATGAAGCTTGACTACTACCTTACACCATGCACAAAAACCAACTCAAAATGGATTAGAGAACTAGACATAAAATCTGAAACCATAAAATATATAGAAGGAAATATAGGAAAAACACTACATGACATAAACCTCAGTAACATCTTTAAAGTCTCATCACCCAAAGCAGTGACAGCAAAGGTAAAGATAAACAGCTGGGACTACATCAAATTAAAGGGCTTCTGTACAGCAAAAGAGGCAGTAACCAAAACAAACAGACACCCCGCCGACAGGCAGAAAATTTTCACACACAACACTAAAGGACTGATCACAAAAATCTATGAAGAGCTGAAGAGTCTCAACAAAAACAAAGTAAACAATCCAGTCAAAAAATGGGGAGAAGAGCTAAAAAGAAACTTCTCCAAAGGGGAAATGCAAATGGCCAACAGGCATATGAAAAAAATGTTCAGCATCACTTGCAATCAGGGAAATGCAAATCAAAACTACAATGAGATACCATCTTACACCAGTGAGAATAGCACATATTGAAAAAACTAGCAACAACAAATGTTGGCAAGGGTGAGGAGAAAAAGGAACTCTCTTGCACTGCTGGTGGGAGTGCAAACTGGTCCGACCACTATGGAAAGCTGTGTGGAGATTCCTCAACCTGCTAAAGATGGAGCTTCCATATGACCCAGCAATTCCACTCTTAGGTATTTACCCAAAGGACACAGAATCATTAATTCAAAAGGGCACCTGCATCCCTATGTTTATAGCAGCACTATTTACAATAGCTAAGCTATGGAAACAACCCAAGTACCCAAAAGTAGATGACTGGATCAAGAAGATGTGGTACATATACACAATGGACTACTACTCAGCAATCAAAAAAGATAAATTCATGCAATTTGCAGCAACATGAAGGAGCTGGAAGGGATGTACTCAGCAAAAGCCAGAAAGAAAAATAAAAATACCGGATGGTCTCACTCATAGCAGAAATTTAGAAAACCTAAATAAGGAACCAGGAAAAAGACTAATTATAATAAAGTAAAAATCAAAATCAACAAGCAACTATAAGCCAGAGACACACTACGGTGGGGGTAGAAGGGGGGTAGGAGGGATTGCAGGCAAAATAAGGGGGGTGGGAATTGTATGGGGACTATAACCAAGATGAAAAAGCATACATTGTGCAAAAATGAAAAATGATGTAAAAAATATATAAAATAAAATTTAAAAAAAGAATTATTAAAAAAAGATCTAATTCAGGTGAGAGATATGTTTCTACCTTTGTCTTCTGTCTAGATGTGATTCCAGAGGAGGACTGGTCATCTCACAGGACAAGGAGAAAGACACACAATAGAAGATGTCTAAACAGAAAGAAATCTCAATCTCTGATGTCATGGAGCTGCCATTTCAGCCCGTTGTCATCTATCTATTGTTTTTGTTTCATGAAAAAAAATAAAACTCCTAATTTGTTTTAGTCATTTATTTTGGGTCTCTATTATTCACAATAAATACAATTCTTAACTTCTAGGTCCATTATAGTTTTGACCCCACACAACTAGAGACATCTGAAAGTGTTAAGTCAAGTCATATTACTAGTTTCCCATCAAACCCACAATAAATTTAAGTTCCTTATTAAGTCAATTAGGCCATCTTTGATATGGCTCCCAACTCATCCACCAAATCCCCATACCACCCTTCCACCCACCACTTGCACATTCAGTTCTAGCCACATTGTTGCTTGAACAAGTCAAACTTGTTCTGTCTCAGGACCTTTGCATTTGCTGCTCCCTTTGCCTGGAATGCTCTTTCCTCATACCTTTATTTTGTTTGCTCCCTGACTTCTTTCAAGTTTCAATTCAAATGCTGCCTTCTCTGAGAGACCTTCCTGACCATCTTCTGTCTCTCCTCAAATTTCCCTTCCATTGCCCTGTATTTCCTTCTACTTTGCTTTATTAATATATATTACATATTTGTCCGCTTATTTATGTCTGTCCTTCCCACTAAAAAGGAATCTCCCTGAGGGCAAGGACCATAGGTATCTTCTTCAGCACTGAATCCCCAGTACCTGACACATAGCAGGAACACAATAAATGTTGGTAAATGAATACATATGATCTAATTTATACTAAAAAATACTAAATCATGTGTGTGTGTGTGTATGTGTGTGTATATAAAGAATCTAAAATATACACTAAACTTAACATTATTTATCTGTAGGAAGGATAGTAGAAAATAAGAAAACAGAGGACCTACAATATTAATAAACACCTTTAAAAAAATAACTAGAATTGGGCCTCCCTGGTGGCACAAGGGGTTAAGCACTGCACTATGAAGCAATCCGCAGCCTCTTCAGGAAAAATTCGATCCCAGGCCGGCCAGGGAGCAACCCACATGGTGCAGCAGACTCGCCCACTGCTCCCCTCAGCAATGTATTTCAGTCAGTCTGCCTGTTCTGTTTCCCACTGTCTCTGGTGAATCCTCTCACTCCCTGCATCTCTGGCCTGTACCCCAGCTCTTGTATGCATAACTAAATAAATATTTAAAAAATAGAATAAAATAAAAAATAACTAGGATTAAGGTAATAAAATTTCTTATTAACTTTTTTCCTTACTTAAAATTTATTTATTTTTATTTTAACATTTATCATTTTTCACATTTTTTTAGACAATATTTGCTTCCCCCCACCCCCTCAGATTGAGTCCCCATAGAATCTCCTTCCCCAAGGCACCCATGCTTATTAACTCATCTTATTAACTTTTACATCACCATCTTATTAACTTTTTACAGCCCTTTTAAAGGTTTTTACTGTTAAACAGAATAAAGTATACTAAATAAGTATATTAGTTAATATGCTAACCATCATATTACTTATGATGAGTTGTGAAGAATTAATTTCATTTATTATTTCTGATTCAATAGACACTTTTAAAGATCTTCTTTCCCTGGAGATTTATCCAGATAATTACATATTTACTTTCTTTTGTTCAGGAAACATGTATTCTAAAAGACATCTTTTTCTCTATCAAGTTCCCCACCCAAATGTTTAGTGCCCTTCAATGTTTCTTACAACTTTATTGAGCCATATTTTACATATTATATAATTCATCCATTTCAATTGTATAATTCAATGATTTGTAGTAAATTTATCAATCTGTGGAATACAACACAAATCAGTTTTATAAATCTTTACTTTACCACTGCAATAAAATCACTCATGTCCATTTACTGTTAATCCTCATTCCCATGCCCTACTCTAATCAATCACTAATCTACTAACTGTCTCTATACATTTGTCTATTCTGGACAGTTTCTATAAATGGCATCATACAATATGTGCTCTCTTGTCCTGGCTTCTGTCCCTCTGGCATCTTTTTTAGGTTCATCCATGTAGTAGCATGTATTAGTAGATCATGCCTTTCTATGGTATTCCATAGTATGGATATGTTATCTATCATATGGCCTTTTGATTTTATGACCTGGATTTCTGGCAAATATGTCATTTGCCATATTTAAAGTCATTTTCTTGTCTCTCCCTCATAACAGGAATAAAAGTTTTTTCAAGGTTTCCTTCTCTCTCCCAAGGGTTATAAAAATGTCTACTCTTACTATGTATTCTGCTTTACATCCTTTTTCTAATTCCAACTCCTTATTTTCTCTATCTTCCAGCTAATGGCTTGAATATAATAAAAATATAAATAAAATATAAATAAAAAATATAAATAAAAATATACCCAAGTCAACATCACACCCTCATTTAAAAGAAAAGGCCAAAGAATGTACAGTAATTATGTAGCTTTCTATAATCTTTTCTCTTTAACATGACCTTATTAAATATTAATCTTTAAAATTCAGTATAAAATGCCACAATAACTTTATTATCTCTCTTCTGATTTATGATAATATCTGATTCAGATTAGACTGCCTTTATAAAATTTTCAATATCTACATGTAGAATGATTATGTAATCACTTATAAAGGTGGGTGAGAGATGGTACAGGGAGAGGGGCTGGAGAAGGATGATGCATATCTCATACTTCTTTTTCCAGCCTTTTTGAAGCCTTAAGTCTCTAAGTTATTTCAGTTGGCTTGAAAATGTCAAAAATAAAATGATGAGGCTATAATTAAAAGCTTTCTCAATGACAAAAGTCCTCTCACTAGGAAATTATTCCACTACCTCCTTACTGGCCTAAGTTACAGTTCTTCTGAAGTACTCAGAGTGGAAGCAATAAAAAATAACACCATATTAGAGGAACCTTGCAAGAAAAGTAAAAATAACATAAACCATTATTATTAAAGCTTAAATGTTAGACTTTAACATTTTCATGCCAAAAATACTTCTCTTGCTGGCCAATTATTGGCCCTATGAGTTACATTTTCATTTTCAAAGGAACAGCTAAAAAAAGGGGTTTCTTAGTTAAGTTTTACTCTACTTCCATTATAGCTACAGAATCTGAATGGCTGGTTTTAAGGTAGTAAGAAGGAAAAACAGGCTCTTCACGGTAAATTTTTAAAATCGCTAGTAAATCAAATTCCCATTCAGCATTCTTTAAGGTCATTATTTCAATTTACATTAAGAATACGAATGTAATGATAATATGTATACTATACCTTTCTCAGGCTTTCATATTCCTCACGAAGTTCCCCAGGCTTGCTTAATTTGATTGGTGCTCTAAATATAAACTCTGGAAAAAAGGGAAAACACTTTTAAACAGGACTTTCTCAGAAGGAAACAAGACCTTGTCCTATTGCTGCCCCCAGATTATAAACCACATAAAAATATGTGGTCATCTAAATTCAAATATTCATTCACTCACTTAACAAATATTTATTAAAGGGTATAAATCAGGTACAGTTCTAAACACTAAGAGAAACATTGCTCTCATGGAACTTAAAATCTCATGGAGGGAAACAGACAATAAATAAACAAGTATATATATGTAATATGACTGGTAGTTCTACATGCTTTGGAAGAAAGTAAGTGCAAAATGGAAGAAAGGGATTATTTTATTTAGAGAGGTCTAGAAGGGACTGACAAAGAAACATGTTAAAGACCTCAAGGAAAAACTGTATTTAAAGCTCTTTGTTCAATGTTACTAAGTAACATTTTAAATGAGCCAAAAGTTTATTCATAGTATTATATTTTTTGACTTCTTTTTCAATGTAGTAAATTGTGGATTTTTCTATGTGTAACCTGTAGATATTTTCAGTATATAATCTGATTATTTTTTATCCTGAAACCTTCAGTGTGTTTGATCAGTCTATAAAGTCAAAATTCTTCATCAGTCTCCAAATACTAATCAAAACTTTTTCTAAAGCACTGTGTATCTAAACCCTTGACTATCAAGTCATTATATCTATATCACATATTTTTAAAACTTTCATGTTGTTTTCTCAACTGATATTTTCTATATTTTTACATCCAAAACATCTAAATCCAAGGAGGCACACAATACACAGTGGTTACAGAAAGATGATAAAAATCCAAGTTAAGAACAGTAATAAAAGCCACAAATGCTATCAAAAATTGGTGAAGTAAGCACTTCTGCTTCCTTAAATGTATGTGACACTTCTATATGCCCCCCATGTATATTCAGAAATCTAAACCCAGTATTTTAAGACTTACTAATAATTCTATATTCCACTGAAGTTGATAAACATTTGTTGTAGAAAAGTGGCCGCCTCAAAAAGTTGACTTTTGTCCTCTTTCAGCTGTCCCAACTATTTCAGAAAAACTCTTTAGTATACCTAAGAAATGTAAATGAGCCTTAGAAATATTAGCCTAATGCAAATGCAAAAAACAATAACTTAAACACTACCAAGCAAAAAAGAATCATTATGCCCTGGGTTTGGGAGGCAAATACTCCATTATCTTCATCGATTTTAAAGAAGTCCTGAAGACTATTTTAATCATATTCTGTAAGAATATTTCCAATTATAGACAAACAGTATTTGAAATTTCATGCTTTGAAAAGGGAAAAGAAGGGTGAGAAAAGCAAACCTTTACAGGCCAAAAAAAAAAAAAAAGTGCTTTCAATCAATTGATGAAGAATCTATTCTATGTAAGATACCTCAAATACATTTTCTCAGTGACTCTTCACAGAAACATTATAAGGTGGTTTTATATCCATTTCACAATAAAGAAAACGAGAGGTTAATGACTGGCCGAAGTCATAGAACCAGTACCTGGCAAAACCCAGAGGAAAGCGTTCATAAGAATGAGGAGGGAAATCACACAATGTTTAGAAAGGCAACCCACCAAGAAGATATAATGATCATGAACTTGTATTAACCTACAGCACAGCAAAAACCAGTAAGAATATAAGGAGAAATTAATAAATCCAAAGTTACAATAAGAAATTTTAACACAGAAAAACTAAAAATAGATCAAGTAGACCAAAAGAGTAACAAAAAGGAAAACTACACAATAAAATTAACAAACCAATTATGTGTGTTTGTGTACGCAAGGAACAGAATATTCCTTGAAGCAAACAAGCAAGAGTGTTAAAGTATACTAGAATACAAAGAAGTTTCAAAGAAATTATATTTTACAGATTTTGCTTTTGGATCCTGATTGCCATTTCTCAAGTCAAGTTTTCTAGCTATCTAGCTGATTTTTTTAGGCTACCCATATTCTTTCTCAATACATTCCTTTTCTGCTTAAATCTGCCATAGAAGTTTTCTGCTGATTAAAACTAACAATCCTGGCGGATTCTATGTTTTGCACGGCACTATGAAATGACCAATGAGCCAACCACTAGTAAAACTGGCTAAGAAAAATAGAGAAAACAAAGCAATATTAAAAATAAAAAGGTCTAATACATACATACCCAAGAAAGTTTTATGTCCCTGAAGACTATAAAAATAATGCTGTAATGAATGACCTTGCATATACATAATTTTGCATGTTGAAAAGGATATCCAGAGATTAAATTGCTAGCATCAGAATTCTGGGTCAAATAATACATGCTTTTGCAATTCTGACAGACAATACCAAATTGCCCTTCCTACATGAAGCCAGGAAGGAATTATAGTCCCAATAGCAAGTCATGGAGTACCATTTCTTCACACCTTCTCCGACACTAAAAGTGCTGAAACATTTTACCTTTGCTAAGCTAAGGAGTGAAATTTTGCATCTTATATTTTCATTTTATGAGTGAAATTCACTACTTTTCATATGCTGGAACAATTTGCATTTCCTCCACTCCTGTTTACTTTTCTTCATCTGGTAAAGCTCTCGATAAGGTCAAATTAGTCTTATGTCACATGAATAACAATACTTTTCCAGTTTATCCTTTGTCTTGACTTTGCATATAGTAGTTATATCAATCAAACTTATTTTTATGTGCGTATATATATATTTTAAAGATTTATTTATGATTAAAAAAAAGAACTGGGGTACAGACCAGAGATGTGGGGGTTGAGAGGATTCACCAGAGACAGAGTGGGGAAAGAACAGGCAGACTGACTGAAATACACTGCTGAGGGAAGCAGTGGGCGAGACAAGAGAGGTCTGCTGTGCCATGTGGGTCACCTCCCTGGCCAGGGATCGAACTCATGCTGCAGTGGCTGCAGACAGCTTCACAGTGCTGCAACTTTACCCCTTGCACCACCAGAGAAGCCCTTATGTGGTTATATTAATCAAACTTTTCTTTTATGGCTTGTGCATTATGCATACTTAGAAAGACCTTCTTTAGACTAATATATAATTATATAAAGTCTATTATGGTTTCTTCTGGTACAAAGTATAAGATTCTTCTCATATCCTTTAAAATTCTAAATGTTTTTATTTGGGAATCAACACAGGAGCATAATCTTATTAAGGATTATAAATATATCTAGTATCCAAAACAAGGGACAAAAAAATAATTTAGTGATAGCTTTGTAGAAATGAGTACTTTTATTTAACTTACTTTGGAGAATTTGCTTTCTCTAATATGGCTCTTGCAGACTTTTGGAACAAAATGTTCAAAGAACTTAATATCTTTATTATATCATGTAAATGATAAAAAGTTAAAAGCCTGATTCCCCCAATTTAGAAGCTTCCAGAGTCTTGGCTAAATTGGTCTCAACTTCCTTTCTTGAAAAATCAGAATAATACCCACTATGAATAACAAGACAGGTTAGTATGAGCATCAAATGAGTATGAGAGTGAAAACACTTTGTAAATTATTCAGTGATGCCACGGAATCTACTAACTATAAAATTGTCTCAGGTGTTGTTGAGATAAAGAAATTATGGTTTGGCCTAATGGATTTTAAAGTACAACTAATAAGAACAAAGAAAATAATACAAACTATACAAAAAGTTACTTTTCATATTGTTAGGGGGAAAGAATGTCCTGAATAAACTCCACAAATAGGTCTTATGACTCTACCCCCACTCCAGACCAAAGATACCCAAGACACCAAGGACTACAAATCCCATAAAGTCATCATCACCCAAGGGATGGATTGCTGGGACCTAAGGGTGGAGTTAAAGAGCCAGGTGTAGTATAAAACCAGATATGTGGGCTGTGGGGGTCTCTTAGTTTTTCGCCAGCTCTCAGTGTGCTATTGGGGTTCCAGCTCAGCGGAACTGGTAGGATGCATTCACAAATTTATCTCCCTCTCCTTCCACCCAAGTTATTCATTTCTTCATTTCCTCTTCTTTTGTAAATAAACCTGTTATTAACCTTTTTGTGTGTGCCCGCAGTTGAGTATTATTATAAGTCCCTTTTAAGCTTTTGGGTGAGGACCCACAGTCAGGCAAGGTTGCCCTGTAACAGTGTAACTCTGGGATACTTATTAAGACATCTCAAAGTTCATATACCAGGCCAAGCAGTTTACTGACTAAATTCTTATTATGCCTTGACTTATTTGGGAATAAAAGTCTATTTCACAAAAAAATGTCCTAAGGGGCTCACAGAAATTTAAAATAACTATTTATTACCAATAACAACTTTGATAACTACCCATAAATTTAATTTTGTTTAAACATTGGAGTTATACTACAGACAATATTTTTTGTGCTCTATGAATTTCCATAAAAGCTAAAAATCTATGTTTATACATGATTATAAACTGAATGATAATTTTATAAAGATCTTAGCCACTTAGAACTGATTAATCCCATCTGATTATTAATTCCATCAATAAGCACTTGTATTCGGCATTCCCATTCTGAGTAGCAAATGGTTAAAACAGATGTCAAATCTGTGTGTGCTGTGTCACCTTTAAATCAGTCTAACTGTTCCACATAAAAGCAAATGGCATATATGGGTTTGCTTAAGTCATTTTCTAGCCGACATTAATTAGCCTCCCTCAATTCACAATACCATGAAGTATTTGCAATTTAAATATGAAAAGTAGTTCTGTGTTAAGATTCTTAATTTATTTCTACTCCATACTTAAAATAATTTCAATGATTATCCCTTACTTCCTTTCTTGAAATTGTTATGAAAAAAAAATTTTATAATGAATTCCATCTTGGAAAACTAGAAAGAGAAAAATGGCAAGGTATTTATTGTAGTTTGTCATAATTCAGAATTCAGCACCTCAACAAGTATTTTGTAATTTTATATTCCTTTTAACCCACTGAGTGGAGAATGTCAGTTTTTCTCCCAACTTGTATGGCAATTCTAATATATTCAACATCAAATATAAACATGTAATAAATGTTAAAATAAAGTTTAGCTCTATTATTG